GAGCCGACCCGCTGGTCGCAGCTCGCTCCTGAGTCGACCCTCCCGGTCGAGCTCGCTCCTGGGTCGACCCGCTGGTCGCCCTCGCTCCTGAGTCGACCCTCTGGTCGCACTCCTGAGTGGACCCGCTCGTCGCACTGATTTCCAATGCTCAGGATCCTTTACTTTATGCCGAAAAATCCCCCTGGATCCCGCCCACAAGGCGGGGCTTCTTTCCGATTTTTGCTGTGTCAGGATCTGTCCGTAGGCAGGTGTGTCCATGTGTGTGTCCGTACGTCCGTATGTCCTTGTGTGCATTACTCACGGTATTCCGTTGTCCCACTCCCTCCATGAACCCACGAGCAAACAATCAGATGTTACAAATTGCCTCGAGGTCGTCTCTCTGTCTGGGCGCAACATTATCTCCTGTCTGGCCTTCCCCATGAACCCAAAACACAGACGTCACAAATGTCTCATAGGCGTCTTTGTTCGCACCACCTGGAGGGAGGGCCAACGCTCTCTCCGACCCGGCGCACAAAGAAATGGTTAAAAGTTTTAAGTTAACATTTGTCCCTTACTATTTCACAGTTATGATTCTGTATGTAACCTAAGGTCTGTCGTTTCCCATCGTGGTGCTTGACTCAAGTGGGGGTGTTTCCCCGAGCGTATACACACTCCTATCCCGCGCTGCGGGGATACAAAGACGGCCGGGATCTCCCTTTCTCTCCGACCCTGGGTTTAACATCGTTTTTTTTTTATTATGTATTCATATTCGACCTGGTGGTGATTCATCCCGTTATCCTGGCGTTTCCATAAGTTTTACTTTGTCTTTTCATGCATATACTTATTACTATTAATTTATTTCCGATATCTTAGGTTAAGGGGTAAGTTTCTTGATCCTAGGAATTCGTATTCCTTGGTGCCTGCATGGTTATATAAGCGGAATATAGTTTACGGTGAATAGCGTTAACATTGATGTTATATGCGATATTATGTATTGTGATGTCTTTAACTTAACTTGTTTGTCAGGGCTTTACTGACACGAAGTTGCATTCATAGCCCGCAGTCTTTGCCCCACCCTATCTCTGCTCGCCGTGGTTGTTGCAGTCCAGCTGACGTTAACTCAAGGCCCTTTTGGGTTTATCTTTGTTTCCTCAGCTGCAGGAGAACAAGGCGTGCTTCTACCTCCCTTTCTGTGTGCACGTGTTCTAATTAGCTCGGAATCCCTAACACACAATCAGTGATGATTCCTGGCTTTCTGTGGTTATGACTTAGACAAAGGCGCCTCTACTTCCTTTCACTGCCTTTGCCTTGAAGCAAGGTTGCAATTCTGTCATCCTAGCCCTCCTCTCGTTCATTACTTAACAACACCTGGTGTTTTGCAGTTTGGTGCGCTTTGGTGTGTTTCACTCATTAAAAAAAATAAAAAGATAATATATAAAAATCATCAAATATTATTACTCTCAATTATGGAAGAAGGGTTAGGATACAACATTCCGCCCTTTTAAAAATGACCAGTGGTCAAATGGCCACGGGTTATTTTTAAAAAAAATATGTATACCCTTCTTCCATCATGAACCATCGATTGTCCTCAAGTTTTGCTGCTATTCCTTACAACGCGTGCGTACGTGTCACAACTTAACATGGTTATATTTGAATTGAGCAAAGAAAATTAAACAAGCGTTAAACATCGATATTGCGTTACATCGGTTCTGATACATCATGACTCCGACGAATATTCATTTTTGTTTTTGTTAAATCCTGGGAAACGCTAGGTAGCGGTTTCGAACGCATTTATGCGTTACCTTCCTCATGTTGCCTCGTTCACCACTTATCACTTCGATAATTCGATCACGGTTTTCGGGTTCGTTTTTGTAGTTTCCTCTCTGACTCTCTGTGTCGTGGGAGTGTGTGGTGAAAAATTGTGCTGCACATAACCAGAATTCGCGCACACGACCCACTTTGACACTTGGTTCGAGGCATTCGCTCTCTCTGCGATTACATGCACATTTGCCGAGTCAGTGTGTCGATTTAATTCTGTCCCTCGTAATGTTGCCCTCTTTGTTTTTACTAGTGTGTTGGATTTCAACACCATTCCCGGTACGTCATGGACATTCGTCTCCATTTTAGCACTCCGATCCACATAATTTTTGGTTTCCCTTGGATATTTTCCATTCAAAGGCTCATGCCTGCGCTCCTCAGGGCGTGTCCCTGCTGTCTGTTTTTGTACTGTCCGATCACGCTTCAATGCAACCCTGTCCTTGTATTCGATCCGCGCGTCATTTACGGGAGCACTGTCCACGTTCTTGCCCGCCCTGTCACTTGCAGCCTGCCTGTATTTCACATTGAGCGCCGGGTTTAACACCTCGGCGGGTGTGGCGCGTATGGGCTGCCCGCTCTCAATCACTGTGGATGGTTCATCACGTATTTGGACCGTATTCTGTGTTATTCCTCTATTCCCTCCTGGTATAGCCGGTGGAGGAATTGGTCGGAATTGGATCGATTGTGTTTGACCTCCCATCCTGCGATTCTCGTGAATGTTCGCATCCATACCT